CCAATACTAATTTTTGTCCCACAATGGTCCCTAAAGAGTCTGAGCTCTAGCTCTATCTGGAAATCCTTGAGAAGGAGAGAATTAACAGCAACTTAATGACAAGGCCCCAGAAATAGCAGGGGCTGACATAGTTAACTGTGTGAAGGGAACACAGGATAGCTGTCAAGGACCCTTACTGAAGATCAAGAGTTAGAGAAGGCCATGCCAGCCTTCTCAGCCACAGTCATAGCAATCCTCTGAGGAATGGGCATCCCATTATGGAAGTTAAGGGCTGTGTATATAGGTAAGTACTAGAGACCAGTCAGCTATAATGCAAAGTAAAAGTAAGTTAAGGTCCTGGATTTCAAGAGCTTGGAGATGCTGTCCCTACATTATCTATGCCCCAAAAGCCTGGTTCTGGGTCCTATGGAAAGGACAGTCAAGAATGGAAGATTACTTTGTTGTTGCCATTAAGGGGGTCTTGGCAGCTGCAGGGACAGAAATATCTCTAATTCCATGAGCAGTCATACGAGGCGAGGGAAGCTGCTTAGAGCGTGGACTTAGTTTTAGGGATTGAAGAGAGTCAAGAGCTGGAGTGAGGAGGGGCTGTAGAGAGGTTCGGAGGGTTACTCTAGGTGGAGGTGAAACAGGTGTTAATTGCCTATTCATTTCACGTGCAACCTCCTGCCAGGAGGACCTGCCCCTGGGCCAGGAATACTATGTAACCTTACTCTCCAATAAGAAAAGAAGTTCAAAGCTCACAGACATGTGCACACACAGCTCAATATACCCAGCTCCCCCTCCTCCTGCCCTCTCGACCTACAAGAGATTGACTCCTGCTGCGCACGTAAGCTGGGATAATCAGGGTTTCTAAACATTGCCTCAAGAGTCCCAAGCCCCAAGTGGTGGGGGGCTGGAGAAGGGTACTCTTCCCCATACTCTTGTCTTCTGTGTAGTCTGGAATACCTGATCAAGAGATATAGAAGGTATAGCCTCAATGACAGGTATACTGAACTGCAGTGCTGGAAACCACACAGGCAACTGTGGGTTTGGATCCCAAGTTGACCTGAAACATGCCACAATCCTGACTTGTCAGAGGGCTGTGGGAAGGGAAATGTGACATGACGAGACCCTGTTGGCAGTGCCTGTCTCTCTCTCATGCTGTTTTTGATTTTGTTTTTGTTTTTTTCTTTTATAGGCTTTTGCTATAGAGTAGTTGTGCTCACTAGAGAGAAATAGAGAGACACAGTGAGAGGGAAAGTGAGAAATCACTCCCCAGGAGGGATGGTCATCTCACATTCCCTTCTCCTCCAGTCTCCTCTCGGGATTTTGGGCATGCACACACACACACACACACACACACACACCCAGCATGATTTTCAAGTCTTTAGGTCTGGGATTTGAACCTTGCAACAAGCCATGTGGGATACAACACCTTAACTTCTATGACACCTGCTGGCCTCTCCTCTCTCATTCTTGTTCTCACTCTTGTTCTCTCTCATGAAGAAATAAAATAAACAAAACTTTTTTTTTTTTTTTTTTTTTTAAAAAGAAAGATATAAAGACTGGAGTGTGACACAAGGCTCTCTTTTTTTTAGAACACAAAGGCCTGAGGCTGGCAGGTGTCATGGTGGTTAAGATGCTGGACTTCCGTGGGAACCAGCAGTTAGCATAATGGCTATGTCGCTGGACTCCCACGTAGTCAACCATGGTTCGCGTCCCGGACCCGGTGGCTTAAAACTCACACCGGGCGCATGTGTGTGCGTGCCCAAGATCCCGGGAGGAGAATGGAGGAGAAGGGATTGTGACATGACCATCCCCCCTGAGGGGTGATTTCTCGCTTTCTGTCTCTATGTCTCTCTGGCGAGCGCACGCGCCCTATAGCGAAAAAACCTCTCCAAAAAAATAAATAAATAAATAAAAAGATGCTGGACTCCCATATGGCCAACTACAGTTTGAGTATCAGCCATGGTGGTTTGCTTGCTTTCTCTCTCTCTCCCTCTCTTGTCAAATTGAATAATAATAATAAAATTAAATAAACACTTCTTTAAAAACACACACACATTGCCACCTCCTTAGTTCTGCATTTTCTGAACAAAATGCTGGGTGAAGCCACAAAAACAGTCCCAACTACAGAGCAGGAGCTGCCACAGCTCCAGGCTGAGACAGGGTCTGGAACAGAATCTGACAGTGATGAATCAGTACCAGAGCTTGAAGAACAAGATTCCACACAGGCAACCACAAAACAAGCCCAGCTAGCAGCAGCAGCTGAAATGAATGAAGAATCAGTCAGTAAAGCAAAACAGAGTCAAAAATGAAAAAAAAAAAAAAAAAAAACAAGGCATAGAACGCTATGTCCAAACTGGGTCTTTGGCAGGTTATAGAGAATACTAGAATCACTATCCAGAAAGCTAAGAATATCCTCTTTGCCATCACAAAGCGAGATGTCTACAAGAGCTCAGCTTCAGATACCTACAATAGTTTATAGGACAGCCAAGATTAAGGATTTGTCTCAGCAAACACAGCTAGTAACTGCTGAGAAATTCAAAGTTCAAGGAGAAGCTGTCTCAAACATTCAAGAAAACACACAGACTCCAACTGTACAAGAGGAGAGTGAAGAGAAAGAGGTTTATGAAACAGGTTTGGAAGTTAAAGACATAGAATTGGTAACATCACAAGTAAATGTGTCCAGAGCAAAAGCAGTCTGAGCCCTGAAGACCAACAGTAATAATACCATAAATGCTATTATGGAATTAACAATGTAACCATCTGAAAAGAAGGACTTTTCCTGTTCCAAAAGAATACTGCAGCCTGGTTTGAAATTTGTGTTTTTTTCTACCATTAATAAACTTATGGCTTCTTGTTCGATGAAAACACACACACACACACAGGCCTATGCTTTGAGCCCTCCTACTTCTGTCCACTACCATACTTCATCTTTAAGGCTTCCAACACTATTTTGATCCCAGTTTTCAGGTCCAAGGCCTCACAAGGCTAGAACCTTGTAGTTTCCCTTATTGAAATCCCCTGCTTTCAACATCATCAGAATCAATCCTCTACTGCCACCCTGTCCCAGCAACAGTAACCTGCTATTCTTTTAACTGCTAATCTGCTTTCCAAACTCTTGGCACCTGAGCTATTTATAGTAATGTTTCATAACCTTCCCAGAACCCTATTCTTCTTCTCTGACACTCCCCCACCCCCCACCACCAATCTAAACAGACTGTGGGTATAAGAGGCTGGGGAGGCGAGCATAGCAACCAGAGCTGGAGACTGATGTGAATTTCTTCTCTCTCCCCAGGTAATATTCCAAAGCCAGCAGCCCCTTACTTCCAGCCCAGCTTTAGTCCCACATCCCTCGCCCTTATCATCTCCTTTAATATATCAGGGGACAGTTGAGGGACACATTTCCTGACACGCCAGCAAGTATTCAGACTGAAAAACCTGAAAAGAGACCTCTGGAAATTCCCCTAAGCTTACCCCTTGGGCCAGCCTGAGTAGGCATCAAAGGGAAGCACTAGAGAGACATTGTTCTCTCTCTAAGGGCCCTACACCAACGCCTAGCACCTGGGAAAATAGATGCAGATAAAGATGGGGGAAATCTGGAGAGGATGATGAGAGGGATGAATAGGTTCATGGAAGACTTTCATCCTCCATGAAAGCTTCTGTCGCCCACAACTAAGAGCATAAAGGCTCTAACATCTTCTCTCCCATGATTTTCTCCCATCTTAGATGAAGGTCAAAGCCATTATGAGGTGAACTCAGGCTCCAATGAGGAGCAGAAGGAGATAGAATCCATTCATTTATACATTCATTCATGTTATCTGACAAACATGTTCTGGAGCTTACTGTGTGTTGGCTGATGTACAGCCTCACCCAGTACAAGAAACACATTTTTCTCATACTTTCCTGGAAGACTTGGTCCAGCCTCTTTCCAAACAAGTTTCTTCTCTCTAAAGGTTCTTGAGAGTGCCCTAGTCATTCTATGAAGTCTAGCTTTTTCTGGAGAATATCCTTAGTCAATGATTTGTACAATTGGGGAGGGTTTTTTACCCTTGTCCAGGATGGATTAAAGTATTGCAGAAGAAATACCCTTGCCAGAGGGGAGAATATAAGAGGCACTTAAAGGTGATGAGACGCCTAAGGAGGAAAATTTAAATCATATTTGGTGTGTCCGGATGGCATACTGCAGTGGGATAAGGAAAATAGGGACCAAATGATTAAGCCTTCCTTTTTCTTTCCCTCTTCCCAGAAAAGGTTCAACATCAACTCCATGGCCAACATTTCCAAGTAAGTAAGGACTCTTTCTAACCCTAATTTGTAAGTCATTCCCTACCAAACTCAAATATTTGCTTTTAGGGTAGAGGAATTTCCCACCTCTCCCTAGTTCGTGGCCTTAGAGCTAGCTACTCTACCCCAGATACCTTTGCTTCATCTCATGTTCCTGTAGCCTCTTCTCCTAATCCTACAAATGTTTTCTTTTCTCCCCATTTCCATTTTTTTCCCTCTGTCCCTTCCTCTCCTGTTCCCTACTCTCCTAATCCCCCTCCCTATCCTCTTTCTGGTTTCCTTCTCATAGGGTGTTTAAGAAGACCAGCTCCAATGCAAAGGTGAGAGAACCTAGCCCAGCTGGGCAAATGAGAGGGCAAAGGGGATAGGTGGGTATATCCCTCAGAGTCCCAAGGTTTGGGGTTGGGGTTTCAGGGAAATCCAAAGATGATTGTGACAATAACATGGGAAGTTGTTCCATATGTCCGGATGGCCTACTGCAGTGGGATAAGGAAAATAGGGACCAAATGATTAAGCCTTCCTTTTTCTTTCCCTCTTCCCAGAAAAGGTTCAACATCAACTCCATGGCCAACATTTCCAAGAAAGTAAGGACTCTTTCTAACCCTAATTTGTAAGTCATTCCCTACCAAACTCAAATATTTGCTTTTAGGGTAGAGGAATTTCCCACCTCTCCCTAGTTCGTGGCCTTAGAGCTAGCTACTCTACCCCAGATACCTTTGCTTCATCTCATGTTCCTGTAGCCTCTTCTCCTAATCCTACAAATGTTTTCTTTTCTCCCCATTTCCATTTTTTTCCCTCTGTCCCTTCCTCTCCTGTTCCCTACTCTCCTAATCCCCCTCCCTATCCTCTTTCTGGTTTCCTTCTCATAGGGTGTTTAAGAAGACCAGCTCCAATGCAAAGGTGAGAGAACCTAGCCCAGCTGGGCAAATGAGAGGGCAAAGGGGATAGGTGGGTATATCCCTCAGAGTCCCAAGGTTTGGGGTTGGGGTTTCAGGGAAATCCAAAGATGATTGTGACAATAACATGGGAAGTTGTTCCATACAGCTCTCCATCTACCTGGGGAAGCGGGACTTCGTGGATCATGTGGATACAGTGGAACCCATTGGTCAGTGAGTCCAAAATGGGGAAGAGTCTGGGGAGAAGGGAATGGGAACCAGGGAATAAAAGAAAGCCCAGGAAAGACTTTGCAGAAAAGGAAGCCAATTAAACGGAAGACTGGGGAGGACCAGAGGATGGCGTAGTGGCTATGTCGCTGGACACCCATGTGGTCAACCATGGTTCGAGTCCCAGACCTGGTGACTTAAACTCACGCCGGGTGTGTGTGCGCATGTACCCAGGATCCTGAGAGGAGAGTGGAGGAGAAAGGATCACAGCATGGCCATCCCCCCTGGGGCCTGATTTCTCACTTTCTCTCTGTCTCTCTCTGTCTTTCTGGCGAGTGCACGTACCCTATAGTAAAAACCTCTTCAAAAAAATAAAAAATAAAGGGAAGACTGGGAAGAATCAGTTCAGGGATCAACTTCTGTTACATAGTCTGAAAATTTTTCCTAAATAGGGTACCGTCTCTCCCTTTCTCTACAGATGGTGTAGTTTTGGTTGACCCTGAATACGTAGAAGGTCGAAAGCGTAAGTGGAAATCTTTCTTGGTCTTTGTACATTTCAAAGGTCCCAAACTGAAATGTCACACATGCCAAATAGGTATCCTGAATGAGTGGACTGGACCAGAAGCATATAGGAAAACCATAAAGTGGCAGAAACTGTAGGCCTTGTCTGGTGGAGGTTGGCAATTGGGAATTTCAGCCCAGTGTAGCCAAATTTTCTGATTGTCAAAGAAGAACTAGAAATGAAGCTCAGAGTAAGCCATTTTAGAAGCCCAAAGTCTAAAAAGACTATTGATATCCCTTCCTCAAATAATATTCAAAATAAATACAATTTTATCATTCAAAAATACACAAAACTTACATGTAGGTTGAAATTAAAATAACTTCTTTCTAAAATTTCTGATTTTTCTGTTATCAGTCATGATGTCTCTGCTTGGTTATTGATATGGGTTTAAACTACCTATAGAATGATCCAAAACACCAGAAATCCATATTTCTATGCAAATTTTCTGATTTTCAAATGCAGGCAACTTGTTCAAAGATTTTAAAAGACCCAAATAGATTTTTAAGTTTTTTTTTCCTGAGGGTAAGCTGCCATTTTGCAACCTCTGGTATAAGTCTTTTTCTTTTTCTATGCAGGGAAACCACCTAAGGTTTCCTTTAAAAAATCCCAAGAAACAAAACAATTACTACAGAAAGTAACAGCAAGAGACATTGCTCTGGTAGTTAGCACTATAGATCAAGATGACACTGATGTATTTTGTCACCGTTTTTTGCTTTCTTTTTCTTTTAATTCTTACTATGGATTAACCCCACTGTGATTCACCCAGCCTGAAAATTGGGTTTGTTTTGAAAAAGGCTCAGAACAAGTTGATGGATACTAGTTCAGACTAACCTTTAGATACTGGGGAATAAAGGAGCTTTAATCTCATAGAGGAAGTAGTGTATATAAGCAATCCAGCTATTTTTAAATATCAGAAGAATTTTAGGATATAGCTATAAATTAACCAACTTATTTAAGCTTACCATGTACACTACATTTCTAAAACCTAAATCATTTTTTCACATTCCTACAAAATATAATAACCTAAGGAAAGAAATCTTTAGTTTGAAAAAAATGTACATTGATTCAGGAATAAGATGTATTTTTCCTTTAAATTTCTTTTACGTCCCCTAAGTAGAGTTTTATACTATTATTCACTTGTTATACTATTATTCATTTGAATTGTGCATATTTTTAAAGTTTACTCCTAGATGTTTTATATGTTTTGTTACTTTCATAAAGACCATCTTATTTGCATCATATTTTCTAAAGTGTACTTTTATCAAGGTGCATTTCTCAATGAAAAATATGCTTACTCTATACTGTTGAGTGATAAAGGCCAGTGAGAGGGCAATACATAAGCTGGTGTGAAAAATCTATTGTTTAACCAAAATCTATTTGTGATCTCTCTGTACTATTTCTTACAACTGCATGTGATTCTACAATGACCTCAAAGTTAAAAGTTTAATTGGGGCCAGCAGGTGGTATAGTGGTTAAGGCACTGGACTCCCACATGGTCGACCATGGTTCAAGTTCCGGACCTGGCTTCTTGAAACCACACCAGGTGTGTGTGTGTCCAAAATCCCAGGAGGAGAGTGGAGGAGAAGGGATTGAGGCATACCCATCCTCCTACGGGATGATTTCTCAATTCCCCTCTCACTGTCTCTGTCTGTCTCCAGGGAGCACATGCACCCTGTGGCAAAAACCTAAATTTTTTACTTTTTAAATTTCAAAAAGTCAATGAGAGAGGTCATAAATACCTCAGGTGACTTTATGTTAAATCATAGAAACAAAGGTAGAAAGTATATGCAACAGACATTAACAGCAGCTATCTCTGGAATATGATGTATTATGGTAAAGCTTTGACTTCTCTTTTTGTTTGTATTTTCTGGCATTCACACAATTAACATATATTATCTGTAATAATAAAACATAAGTATAAATTAAAAACTTTGAGTAGATGTTGACTTTTAAAAAAATGAAAACAAGCTGTATCCTAGCATAAAGGATGATTCCAAACTACTAGAGAGGCAATTAAAGCACTGGCGGCAGGACATGGGGTGGGGGTCCTGGAGAAGGCAGCTGATTCCCTCCCCACACATGAACAGCAAGGTGTGCCAAGAACAATTCATCTGATTAACACCCTCACCTCAGGGGTGACTGGATCCCCATCTGCCTCACCCCTCTTGACCTTTTACTGTCTCGATCCTCATCTTTCTTTTCCTCCCTCCTTCTGCCTCCTTATAGCTACCTTTCTCTTCTCACCTTCTGTATCTTTTTTTTCCTTCATCTACTCTTTCCTTTTCCTTTTCTTTCTCTCTCTCTCCTCCCACTTTAATTGGCCCATTGGTAAGAGAGTTCAAAAAGAGGACTCACTTTCAGACCAAGATGAATCCATTTGTTGTATTTTTTTTAAATGGCTACATTTATCTTCATCATAGACAAATGAGAAAGCACAGATGAAGGAAGGAGAAAGAGACTACTAATCCTAATGCCCTTAACCACTAATAATCATTAATAATAGTTTAATTCTTATCTATGTATATTTAATGTGCAAACATATCTATATTTTTATTTTAAATGCTATACTATAAATAATATTCTTTTAAACCTATATCCATGTATAAAATGTATAACTTTCTGGGACCAGCAGTTAGCGTAATGGCTATGTCGCTGGACTCCCATGTAGTTGACTGCAGTTCAAGTCCCGGACCCCGTGGCTTAAACTCACGCCATGTGCGTGTGCATGCGTGCCCAAGATCCCAAGAGGAGAATGGAGGAGAGGGAATTGTGGCGTGGCCATCCCCCCGGGGGGTGATTTCTCACTTTCTATCTCTCTGTCTCTCTCTGTCTTTCTGGCGAGCGCATGCACCCTATAGCGAAAAAACCTCTCAAAAAAAGTATAACTTTCTAACTACTACTATACTGTATGCATGTACCATAATATACTTATTCAGTCTTCAATTTTTGGACAGTCACTGTTTTCTTTTTTGCTATTATTATAAACAACCCTGTAAAGCATGTGTACACACACAATCACACATACATATGTTTTATACTTGTCCAACTATTTCTTTAAGCTAAATGTCTAGAAGTGGATTAATAGTCTAAGCGCATTCACACATTTAAAATTTTTCTATACCTATTGTCAAATTGCTCTCCAAAAAGTTAGGACCAATTAACTTTCCTTCCTGCAGTATATGAGGCTGCACATTACCCAATGCTTATGAACACTGGTATTATTACTTTCTGTCTTTGTTTTTCCTTTTGAATACCATTTTTCTCATTCTTATCTTTAAAAACTAATTATTTGATGTTCAATATTTTTATCTCTTGAAAATACTAAAATAGAGGCCAGCAAGTCGAGTGGTGGTTAAGGGTGTTGGACTCCCACATGACCGACTGCAGTTTTTTGTTTGTTTGTTTGTTTTTGGAGAGGTTTTCACTATAGGGCGCGTGCGCTCGCCAGACAGACAGAGAGAGACAGAGAGACAGTAAGCAAGAAATCACCCCCGGGGGGGGGACGGTCATGCCGCAATCCCTTCTCCTCCATTCTCCTCTCGGGATCTTGGGCACGCACGCACATGCGCCCGGTGTGAGTTTTAAGCCACCGGG